TAGTGTTTGCGTGGTGTTCCGTTCATGTGGTTTTAAAAAAGAAAGGACTGAATTGCGCTGAATTGTTATAGTTGTGAAAATAACCAACAATTACCGGTGAGTTTACTCACAGAGCATTTCCATGTGTGGAGAGTGTGAGTTTACAGGGTGCTGTTGTGGAGTGTTTGAGCCACACAACGTGTTAAAATCCTTTAATCATTAATTACCTGACGGAGTGCTTGAGCCGTACAGGGTGCCGTTGTGGAGTTACTTTATTTTTACCACTGACCCCGTTGCACCGTGGGTGACAGACACGATGTGATAAATAGTAGTTTTAAACAGAAAAGCTTACTTTGATGAAAGTATATAAAAGAAATTGCATTTAGGCGAACTGGTCGCTCATACTTTTCTTTTGTTCCAGGTATTTCGCACGTCGTATCACATTGTACTGAGGCATCTTCCATTTAACAATCAGTTTTAATTTTGTTTTGTAATATAGTTCCTGTGTATTGCTTTTCCTTTTCTTTTTGATAAATATATTTAACCGTAATTAATATTTTCGGCAGTCTGAAGTAATTTGTACCACATATATTACTAAAATATCATTCTGCCCTCTTTATTTTCTAGTTTTAAGTCTCGCCTTCAACTTTACAGTTATTGCTAATAAAAATCAATTGTTCTATTTACCTTCTAATTTTGTTTTTACCAATTTTTGTATTATGCATTTCCATAGCTTCATGTGTAACAGCTCGTGCAATTTGGGTTGGGGGTTAAGCTTTACATGATTTTCTAATTCGTTCAACTGAATCTTTTTTGTAGTAACCGTCCAAACTATTTTGGTAAAAAAAATCTTGAATTGCGGAAAGCATGTAATCTATCACATTTCAAAATTACTTGAAATGCCTAAATTCTTTGAAAGTATGGGCAGGAAGCTTGTGGGTGTAGCTATCTCTTCTGAAAATATTGTTGCTCTCCCTTTCTTACTGTAAAATAGGCATGCTTTTTTGCCACCTACTGTTATGCGCTACTTTTTTCAAAAAGAATTAATAACTTGAACACCGAAAATTTTAGAAGTAGAAAAGCCTTATGATAGTCTACCTCAAATCATATGTAGAATTCAAAATCGTCATAATATACAGAGTAGTCCAAGTTGATGTCAACTTTCAGTATAATCGGAAGTGCTACATAGATGCCGTTGTTTCAGTTGAGGAGAGTCTATCCAACTACGCTATATTCCAAATTTTCAAAAGTCTTATTGAAGTAGTTTCAGAATTATTATAATGTATATACAGAAACTATAGATAGGTAACTTATACTTTTACACATTAAATTAGATTGTTTTTTCCAACCTGATTTCTAACTTGATCGAACTATAAGTTAAAAAAACAAAAATTTTTTTAGTCTAAAGACGGTTGAGTAAACCGAAACGTAACAAAAAACATAAAGTTGTCTAAAAGACAATATAATTTAAAAGTAACGGTCAGGAATCTAACAGAAATTAACATCCTTTTGGGTATATTAAAATCAAAGTACCTAATATATTCATGCGATTTAGTTGTATTGGTAAAGCTATTAATAAATAGTAAAGTAATGAAAACTATTCGTTGGTTGTATAATAAAGTAACTAAAGGTTAGTTTAACTAAACTAAAATAATTAGATATATAAGAGCACATTAGTATAGAATACTATTTTTTGTTGAAATGGGGTCTATAGTACATTTTACTACTCTAAAGTGTTTTATCCAATGATTTATTTTTGCGTTATAGTTAATTATACAAAAAGTGTAACGACTGCAATATTATATATAAATACATTTTTTTGTGAGTGATGTAACGACTGGCACCTTATCACTATTATAAAAATAATGCTATTACAATATAAAACATAATTATTTATGAAAAAATGACAAAGGTAGTTTGAAATTCGCCAATAGAACAAATACGAAAAACTCTTGTTTCAAATAATATTAAGAATTTTCACATGCTTCTACCTAATTCACTGGACTCACATTCTGCAAGTGATGAGTCCCCGTTTTATACAACAAATTCTATCCTACTTAAAAGTCAAAAACGTACAGCAATTATTGGTATCAACCCAGCTACGACTGCTTTTTTTTTCAAGTTATCAAAACCTGTCACGTCACACTAATTGTCAACACACTGGTGGAAAGCTATAACTATTATTTCATTAAAATAATATAATAGGGGTAGGATGTTATTTATATTTGCTTTTTTCATAAGTTTTTCAATTTTCGCACAAACTTTATATAATAGGTACAGTAATCGTGGTTTTGTTTACATACCCCAAAACAATAATACCGTACGGTACTATGCTATAGTATAATCCGTACATTATATTACATAATCTATTTGGAGATAAAATCTTACTTAATTTTGAACGTATGTATACTAAATATTTAACTCCATTAATAAGTCTAATAATTTGTTTATCCCATCGGATATGACAGTTAACATACACATCCAGATACTTTGTGCTATTAACTATTTTTTATAGTTTGTTTAATAATTTTACATTGAATAAGTTCCTAGCTGCACTGTCACTACAACTACCATAAGTCATACAGACTGTCTTCCCCACATTCAAGGACAATTTGTTGTTAAGCCAATAATTTACATCCATTAATTGTTTGCTGTTGTTTATTCTAATAAATTGCTTTCTATTACTTAAATAACTTCTTATCAACTGCAAGACAGTGCCTCTGAAGCTGTAATCATTTAGTTTTGATAGTAGTATTTCGTGGTTGTGTTAAACGCCTTTGCCAGATCAAGAAAGACAGTTGCAATTGGTTAACTTGTATCAATATAATATTTTATTTCCAAATACGAACTGATAGTTTGATAAAATATTATGATTAATGAAAAATCAGATATTCTTAGGTACGTGAAGTTTAGCAAAATTTGACACCAAAGAAATAGGCCTATAATTATTTGCTTGATGTTTATCGCCGGTATTATAGGTAGGCACTATTTCTGCTATATTGAAGTAGTCTGGACATACACCGGTAGAATAACTTAGATTTATTAAATAAGCCATCGACTTACATATATACGGAGACATAATTTTATTTGAATAACCCCAGTTTCATTTGTAGGTTTTAGGAAGATAGATTTAGGGTTTGATTTTATATGTAAGAAGTAAGTCTACTTCTTGGAATTTAGTTTATCTCTTAGACTAATTTATTGGTTCGCTATCACAACAGCGACACCAGACGCATTAAGTTAAGAGCAGTCGAAAATGAAATGCATGGGACAAGCCCGGGAATAGTACCTGCGGGCATACATTTTGTAAACAAACGTTTGAAGCCAGAAAGCTCAGCTAAGATCTCATCATTTTTAGTGTTTGCGTGGTGTTCCGTTCATGTGGTTTTAAAAAAGAAAGGACTGAATTGCGCTGAATTGTTATAGTTGTGAAAATAACCAACAATTACCGGTGAGTTTACTCACAGAGCATTTCCATGTGTGGAGAGTGTGAGTTTACAGGGTGCTGTTGTGGAGTGTTTGAGCCACACAACGTGTTAAAATCCTTTAATCATTAATTACCTGACGGAGTGCTTGAGCCGTACAGGGTGCCGTTGTGGAGTTACTTTATTTTTACCACTGACCCCGTTGCACCGTGGGTGACAGACACGATGTGATAAATAGTAGTTTTAAACAGAAAAGCTTACTTTGATGAAAGTATATAAAAGAAATTGCATTTAGGCGAACTGGTCGCTCATACTTTTCTTTTGTTCCAGGTATTTCGCACGTCGTATCACANATTTTTTGACTCCATGCATTATATTCTTAATGGTTGAGTACCTATTATTTTGTCTGAATAAAATATATAAAGTAATTCATTTACCAACCGCAAAATACCCACAAGATTTTTTATAAGCTGTTAACAAATAGACTAAAACCTATTAACAAATAGTTATCTGATTAAAGCACTCTTTTCAATTAATTAAATTTTTTTGCGGATATTGTAACAAACGTAATTTTTCTTTCGGAATATGTCTAAGTATTTATAATTTTAAAATCGTAAACTGATGATGGAAACAATTACACTAAAAAACTGTAATAGACTTTCTCCAATTATTTTCAATAGAAACATTTGTACTTATTAACTGTTTATGTTGGCTGCTTTGTATACAGGTACACTACATCACTATATTGAGAAGAAAGTGGAGGGTAAATGGAATGATTTTCAATAGTAAAAATTAAAATAGCTGCAATAATTACTATTTTGGTAAAGTTGATTAGGTACAACGCGAAAAGAAATAGTTCAATAAAATACTTACTTTAGAGTAGGTAGTTAAATTTACTATCGACAATAGTTCAATAAAAAAAATCATNGTAATTGCATTATTATTATAAATCATAGTAATATTTACTTTATACTAACAGTGAATATTATACTCATTTAATAGTAAAAATAATGCCATTAATAAATAGCAATTGGTTAGAATAATGGTACCTATTTATAACTAAAATTCATGAGATCTACCAAAAGTATTTTTCGGAGTTGTCCTTTAGAAATTCTGAAAAATGGTAAAAAAGTAATTTCAAACGGTTTTTTATAATGTAGGGCGGCTAGTTGAGAACCAAATGTATGAATATTCTATTGCATGCAATCATTAAAAGGCGGCATCATCTTTTACGCCGCAGTATACAAAAATTTAGCTATCTTGTCATATAACCAATAAAAGGTAATAAATCGTATAAATGCAATTTAAACAATGAGGGTGTTAACGCTTCAAAAAATAATGGGTGCTGGTTAGCTTAAGTCAGTTTCCAGTGGTAGGAGATATTTTCAGTTAGATATGGTTGAAAAATATATTTTACGCGTTCACCAAATTATTCATCTTAGCTCATACGACACATAAAAAACAATTCGACAAAAGATGTTTAATTTCTGTGCTTGGTGAACGTTTTACTTTACCTACACAAAAACGACTGGTTATTCAATTGATAACAATTTATCTACTTATTGGTTAGTTAGTTGAATTTCTTAAATATTTTACCTTTTGCGGCACAAGTTTCACTGTTATAGAATTTGTTAAAGATGTTGAAAAAATTTCAAATTCACATTAAAAATCACTAACAAATTATGGCAATCGCCACTGGCATTATCTTCTTTATAAATTAGGGGTCGAACGAACTTTCACCTGAAGGCCGAATAACCGATTTATAGTAATTATTATTTAATTGGTCGATAAGTTAGGCTAACCTGGTACCAGGCAATTCCTAACGTTAAACCGCTCGTTCAGCTGACGACTAAAGTTACCGATGAAGACAATGTTGGTTTTTATATTTGTGGTAAAGGTCGCAATGTACGGGGTTCCCTACCTCCAAGGCGTCCGTCATTTCGTAAAATGGCTCCGAATCCAATCACCTCCGATGAACGAAAGTTGATGTCAGAAGCCAGTGGTCAGTTGTAGTAGTCGGTACATTATAAATACATGCGTATTTACCACATATGTATGTTATGTAGGTATACCGTACACTATAAACAGTGAGCAGAATTCATTGTCATTGGAATGGTAATAAGTAATCGGCAGCTGCGATTTCCCGTAGTCAGCTGATTGGCCCGGTATTTCCAGTTAGGTAATGGGACTTTCACCAGATCTTATTCTCTTTCTTTTCTAAGTCAAGTTTGCATGTTACTACATCATGCAATTAAAAAACTGCAACTGATGCTCTCGTGCCTACCAGATGAAGTTTGACTAGAGCACTTGTTACTGCTTTAATCAACTAATCACCTAAGCCTGTACAACTGTCTTTTGTAAAATGAATTTTTCGTGTGTATTTAACCTTAATTTAAATGCTCTATACGTTCTATCGATGTAAATGGCTTCAGAGTCTGCACAGTTTGTTTGGCATACTCCGTTTATTCCACTATGTCTGTTTTATCTTTATTACTAACCAGTAATGTCCTTGAATTTTATTTGTTAACGATTATTGTATCTACGTATGGGCAAATGGGCGTGCCTAAATTCGAAATAATTTTGCCTTTATTTCTGCTTTGAAACGGCTTTTATGCATAATGACACAATACGGGGTTTATTCCAAAATAGCAAAGAAATTAAACTACCTTTTTTTTCAGTATGTCTGTTTTATTTTTGTTATTAAAAAGTACTGTTGTTAAATTTATTGGGTAAAGGTCTAGAGTATCCCCCCACCCCCTTTGGGGTGGGAGCAGAGGGGATTGAAAGAGGAGGTCTTCCTGAGTAAACCACCATAAAAAGTTCGCGGCGGTCACACCCCCATGAAAAGTTCTGTAATTTTCCAATTTTCATACACTATAAAGACTAATAAAATTTAATAGATTACTTATTATTACTAATTAGCCAACATTTATAATATTGATAATTAGTAAAGAGCCAAAAAA